TCCAGAAAACAGTTCGGTTAATTTTGCAGTTCCTCGATCGTCGTGAATATCTTCGTTCGTCGGTTTACTTTCAAGGAGAGAAGTTTCTCGGTTCGAAGTTCAGAAGATTGATTTCTTCTTGTGCCGGCAAAGTAGGGAAAGTTGAGGGCAAATACATAGAACGGTTTTAGCGACTGGTTTCCGCTCTGAATACGGGATAGAAGTTCGCGGAGTTTGGCTATTTATTAATATTACGGGGCAGCTTTAATGAATTCCTTTTTTATTAAACTTCGACAGTACGTAGGGCCGACATATTTATAAATAAAAAGCAAAAATAAATTCAACAGCACTCTTGAAATTAATTACACCACTAAATTACATTACAATCTCTAAAAACATAGACGCGTTTAAAATGTACTTAATTGAAATTGATAATGTAATTTTGATAACTTTTAATCGTTTTTGTTACCAAAATGTTTCTTTAACGAGTGTAAGAATTATTTGTTGATATTATAAATGTTGAAAGTCGCACATTACGGAATCGCGTAAACTACACACGCGTTGCGACTTAATTACATTACGACGGCCAGATATGATAGCACGGTCAACTACAAACAGAGTTACCGTAACTGAAGCTCGCATCTCGGATTTAATTTCACGCGTGTATCGCACACAGCGTGCCTTGCAAACGAATCGTCTCGCAACGATGTTTTCCGCCGTTCTTTCATCCCACTCTGCCTCCTCTAGGGGCTCATAATCCGGGGATCATCCCTTGTTCGACATACGCAGCGCAAGAGGAAAAAGTTGCCGGTGAAACTGGATGAGAAGGAAGTATCAGCGACTACCTTGTCTATACGTTAGAAATTACATTTCCGTGATTTGGAAAATCTTTTCCTTAGAGAATACAACTGTACCGAGTACAGAGAGTTAAAAATTTGACTTGACCGATCGAGCAGTAAAAAGCTCTCGAACAGTCGATATCGAATCGGTTCGATGTCGCCTGGTTCGCGAAAAGAGAAAGGAAAAAAATTTCTCGGGCAAATATATGATTCGTTGTTTGAATTATTCATCGCGTCGCGGTAATTCCGCGATCCTCCCTTTCGGAACGTACTGCACCGAGGCCGGTGCTTAATTCAAGAGACACGTTTTGGCTCCCCGAGTGGGTCGTTAGTCGGATGCATCACGTGCGCGGATTTAAAGGGCGGATCCGCACGTAGTTGCAGTACCGGTTAGATTGCAGCGGCAGGGAAAGAGAGAGAGAAAGGAGACTGCTCGATCGCCGCGAAATGATTACGCGAGCTTTCCTGATTATTCCTCCGAATGGAGCCATCTTTCTTCCGGCGCTCGCTCGCTCCCTCTCGCGGAGAGGAGTCTTGGCGAAAACGTTTGTCTGGGGCTGGCGAGGGCTCCGGCAGAATCGCGAATCCAATTTCATTCGAGGGAGACCCCGTTCGCCACGTCGAGTTATTCGTCCTTCCACAAGCATATTTAGAGGCACTTCGATGCACTCCAATGGCGTTTTAATCTAGCAAATGCATTCCGCACGTTGGCCCGAGGCTCCTTTCTCTCTTTTTCTATTCCTCTCTCTCTCTTTCTCTCGTGTCCCAGCGCCCGCTGGTTTACGCGGCGCGAGAACTTTTTCCATCGAATTTCCGTTGCACCGTCAATGTTTGATTCATCTTGAGGATGAAATATCGCTATTTCTGCCGACGAAGCGTTTTCATGCAATCCTCAGGTATTTTGGATGCCTCGAGGTTTATTAACATCATTTTCGGTCAGTGAATTGGTCCGCGCTTTACGAGCTGCTTCGAAATTTCAGTCAGGTTTATTTCGTTCGAACTTCCAGGAATTTGGATCGAGATTAGTACGGTAGATTTTTATGCTTCTCTCTTCGTCTACCGTGTCACAAATGCCTAAACTTTTTCGATATCATAAGACTAAACACTAAAGTATTGTAAACTCGTAACCACAAATCACACCAACCAATACGCGTCAATTTCGATCAGACTTATATTCATGAATGGACTATGGATATTTATGATACATCGAATTTTACAAAATACTCGTAAATCATGTCTGTAAATCCCGCAGATTATACCTTGCAGACCTCGATATATCATAAGCATCCGCAGTCTTTTTATCAAAATGTAAATTTCTTTCAACGATGAAAACATTTTCTTCTTAAAAAGAAGCGAACCAGTGGTGTATTGATTCGAATGCAAAGATTAGTAACCTCGTTGAATCGTTCGTTAAGAAAATACTAATCTTCTTTCCTCGGCAAACTGTCTCTTATCTTCGGAACAATTGAACCCGTTCTATCGGTAGATCGTTTACGAATATCAGCAAACTATCTCCGGGAGAGCGGCTCTCGGACGGGAAGTTGTTCGAGAGGGTGAGATCACCCTACCTATCGGAGATCTCGTAATTAAATTCTGCATGAGCCAGTTGCGAACAACCCCGATTGTCTCGTTCTCGCAGCTTCCTCTTCGTGTGTCCTCGCAGGCGTCTGTGTCTTTTCTTAGAAAAATGTTAGGTCAGCTCCTTGGGGACGCGCGGAAGCGAACCGGGGGAGATATTCTTCTCAAGAACCTTCTTGGCGTCGATTCTGCTCGTTCTCCATCCATTTCTCCATCTTCGTTGGATCATTTTCAATTTATTTCCCTGAGCTTTTTTGCGCGAATTTCTATCTCTCTCTTCTCCCGTTTCTCCGGGAAAAAAAGTTGGAGGGAGCACCGGTTGAAACGATGTAGACAGACGCACGCAGCACGGGACAATAGGTTGGTATCGCAGCCAGGGCGCGCGGGGGTTGATTAATGAACTTCTTGCTACGAGCGATGTACGAGCGACGGGAAAAAAATTAGAGGGAGGCGGAATTGCAACGGTGCCGCGGAACTACGATCGATTAATTGGAGTTGTCGACCGTCCTGATCGTCCGCTGTTGCTGTTGCCGTTGTTTAATCGTTTTTTGATGGGGCTTCCGGACTGCTCGATCGGACGATTATGTCGAACCGTCTGATCTTTGCATCCCCGTCCCTCGGTTTATTATTCGGACCAGAGGACAGCTATCGGATGGTCATTTTGCGGGCGTCCCGATTTTAATTGGAGTCCCGAGATGCACTAAATTTGCACTCTGAGTTTTCATCGCGTTTCGTTACAAAGATGGTCACTGAATTGTACGTGTTACAATTTGCGAATTCGTAGCACAAAACACGTCTGACATCATCGCGGAGTAACTACGTATTCTCCGACGATACTAGAATTAAGGAAGCGAAGACAAAGGATCCTAAATAACGTCCCAGATTTCCTTGGTCCCTCCTCGGACGAGCGATATTCAAGCGACATTCCTTATTCTCTGTTGCAGGCTCGTAAAACAGGGGTTCCAGCGACACCGCGCGGACAAGATCGATACAGGCGATAGGATAACGTTCGAAAATCGTTCCGGCCAGGAAGCATCGTAGCTTTCCATCGTCCCTAATTGACAGGTGGAAGGGGGGGGGGAAACCTGTACAGAGAAGGCCAGGAAAAGAAAGCACGTACATCGTGGAGAGGAGAGGGCAACGTGGGCAAAACTGGAGGGATGAGGGCAAGAGGGGGAGAGTTCGAAATTTACGAGTGAGCAGGTTTGCTTGCACGTATCCGCGGGGCAGTCGTGCACCGTAACAAACGGTCCAGCCGTAAAAGCAGCTTACGGTGGAGAACGACACCGGAAGCGGAGGACGGATATCCGCGATGCATCGAGTCAGTCGAGTCACCGAAAAATACTGAACAAGTTTTCGTCTTCCCTCTCGAGATCTCGACGACGGTCTTTGCACAGCGAAAATCGCGACATGGTCTCGAATGAGCGTGGTCGACCGGCTCGACGGAGCTTCCAGTGAAACCGGGAAGAATGTGGAAGATCGGAGGCACGTATCCATGAAGGATCGAGGGTGGATCCATCGGAATCTGGCCAAATGGGTTAAAAGGAAGCGCGATGGACGGCGCGACCCCGTGCTGCTCGCAAAATGGTGATCGTGCTGCCCTCGTGGAAACGCAACAAGTGGCGATCTGTTCCTTATTCCTGAACTGTCGTCCTCGATATTATCCAAAACAGAGAATTCGATCCAGGACTCGTTGCTTTCGATCCGAAGATCCGTCAAACGAAAGTCTCCGACGAGTTACCTTCTTCTGACGGAATTCCGCGTGTTCCGACGACGAGAACAAATACTCGTCGAACCGACTCAAAGAGATAGTAGTATTCGATCGATCGGGAAATTATTCGGTTTTACGGCCGAGCTCGAGGGAGTACTAAATTCAATTCCTCGCGTTAATCTCCGGCAAAGAAGACGAACGATCGAGCTACGGAGTGGCTCTCGGAGTCAATTTCCATCCTCTCGAGCCGAAATTATTCGCGACGAGAGCCCGCGAGCATGAGCGGACCCGAGAACGGGCATACCATCTTTCGGGAGCGAGGAAAAAGATCGTCGACGTGGCTGCGAGCGAAGTTTCGCGTTCCCATGGACTGAAAGGGTAAATCTGTAGAGATTAATCTGAGAGGCATCGGTCGTCGTCGAATGAGACGATGGTGATGAAGATTTCCGCGGTCGAGGCTGGCGTTCCGTTGCTAAGCGCCGTCGGTCCGCGTTGCGTCGTCAAGCAGGCCACGGTCAAACGATGCGTCGCGGCGCTGCTGCTCGTCTCCGTCGCCAGCATATTCTACTACACGCACTACATCATCAGCAGTCCGCTGTCCAGGTAACTTCTACTTTCTTTACTCTTTAGAGGTACCAACTATCCACCCTGAAAGTCAGCTACTTGCAGACATTAAGCTCTAACCTTTCAATCATGAAATTTCCATCCCGCATTTAATCAGAAAATACGAAACTTGCTCTATGTTCTTAAACGTCCAGCAAACCGCATTTCCAATTAATTCTGTGTTGTTCATTTACGATGCGTTGTGTGGTCCGAACAAAAAAATTCGAACAAGAAGCATAGTCGTTTCGGTCGGTAAAGCGACACAAGCTGTAACGACACCGGAAGCGGAGGACGGATATCCGCGATGCATCGAGTCAGTCGAGTCACCGAAAAATACTGAACAAGTTTTCGTCTTCCCTCTCGAGATCTCGACGACGGTCTTTGCACAGCGAAAATCGCGACATGGTCTCGAATGAGCGTGGTCGACCGGCTCGACGGAGCTTCCAGTGAAACCGGGAAGAATGTGGAAGATCGGAGGCACGTATCCATGAAGGATCGAGGGTGGATCCATCGGAATCTGGCCAAATGGGTTAAAAGGAAGCGCGATGGACGGCGCGACCCCGTGCTGCTCGCAAAATGGTGATCGTGCTGCCCTCGTGGAAACGCAACAAGTGGCGATCTGTTCCTTATTCCTGAACTGTCGTCCTCGATATTATCCAAAACAGAGAATTCGATCCAGGACTCGTTGCTTTCGATCCGAAGATCCGTCAAACGAAAGTCTCCGACGAGTTACCTTCTTCTGACGGAATTCCGCGTGTTCCGACGACGAGAACAAATACTCGTCGAACCGACTCAAAGAGATAGTAGTATTCGATCGATCGGGAAATTATTCGGTTTTACGGCCGAGCTCGAGGGAGTACTAAATTCAATTCCTCGCGTTAATCTCCGGCAAAGAAGACGAACGATCGAGCTACGGAGTGGCTCTCGGAGTCAATTTCCATCCTCTCGAGCCGAAATTATTCGCGACGAGAGCCCGCGAGCATGAGCGGACCCGAGAACGGGCATACCATCTTTCGGGAGCGAGGAAAAAGATCGTCGACGTGGCTGCGAGCGAAGTTTCGCGTTCCCATGGACTGAAAGGGTAAATCTGTAGAGATTAATCTGAGAGGCATCGGTCGTCGTCGAATGAGACGATGGTGATGAAGATTTCCGCGGTCGAGGCTGGCGTTCCGTTGCTAAGCGCCGTCGGTCCGCGTTGCGTCGTCAAGCAGGCCACGGTCAAACGATGCGTCGCGGCGCTGCTGCTCGTCTCCGTCGCCAGCATATTCTACTACACGCACTACATCATCAGCAGTCCGCTGTCCAGGTAACTTCTACTTTCTTTACTCTTTAGAGGTACCAACTATCCACCCTGAAAGTCAGCTACTTGCAGACATTAAGCTCTAACCTTTCAATCATGAAATTTCCATCCCGCATTTAATCAGAAAATACGAAACTTGCTCTATGTTCTTAAACGTCCAGCAAACCGCATTTCCAATTAATTCTGTGTTGTTCATTTACGATGCGTTGTGTGGTCCGAACAAAAAAATTCGAACAAGAAGCATAGTCGTTTCGGTCGGTAAAGCGACACAAGCTGTTAAACAAGTTTTTTTCTCGTTACGAATCTTCTAAATGCTTTCTATATGCAAATAGTGGAGCAACTTACGGTATCTGGTACGATTACGTACTACTAATTTGCGAATCGATGCGATTTTATAGCGACCGCCTTCCGTTAATAACAACTTCCTGCAGATTGCAATAATCAGTTCGTTCGTGGAATAAAAACCGTTCTCTTCGGGATTTAATTCCAAGTTTGCGTGCCACAATTCCTAGCGACTGTCGCGTACCAGATTCGGTCGATCGCTCGCGGAGATTTTCGAGGCGGTATCGCGTTAATAAATTTTTCTCGTGCAATTAGCAAAAGTCTTTGTTGCGTACAAGTTGCTCGTTCATTAGGCGTAATGGGTTGCTCGGCTCGTGGCAAAGACGGCATTTTATTGCCCGAGGACACGAAATCCAACCGTCTTTACGTTTACGAATGTTTTGAGCAGCGATTTCTTTCGTTCGTAACTCGTCGATCACTATAATTAGCTTTCGAGGCGCATTATCGACGCGTCCAACGCGGGCACCGATCGATTCGAATTTTACGGAAACACGGTCGTTCGAACAACTTCAATCGAAATTGCGACCACGCCTCGCAATCGTACGCGCTAATTTCTCCGATCGTTTCAAGAGGACGAGCATGACGAGGGTAAAATCATACGTCACATCCGCAAACGAGTAATTTGCTTGCAGATAAGTGAAAGGCAGCCTCGCGTTTATGGGTGTGCCGGTTACCTCTCAACGGATCAATTAGACGACCATTTCGCTGGAATTCTTGTAATTAAATTTGCTTGCCGCTTTGACTCCGAAATCGCACTAATTCCGAATTGCAATCAATCCTTTTGATGCGCTCAAACGGCTGCTCTACCTACCAATCAAATAGCGTTTTCTTTCTGCCTTGCAAATTTCATCGGATGATGTTCCTCTCTTTGAAATTCGAAATCAATCCCATTTGATGGACTTCGAACAATTGCTCGTGATACAATACTTTTTTAATAGCACCATACGTTTTTGTCAAAAGGAAATCGAAAACCATGCAAAACATATTTTCGGCAGGAATAATTCTGCATGTCTGGTCAAAATTCAATTCGAAGAAGAAGAAAGGTAATTCGCGGAGCTCATCTCGCGAGGCCCGTTAATGGGAGGAACGTGGTTTCGAACGAGTTAATTCGGGAACGAACGCAAGCATCGGGGACTAAAGCGCGAAGGCGTTCGTCTCGATTCGATACAGACCTAATCTCGTTCGGGCGGATAACCCCCCAAGGCAGTGACCCCGTGAACACCGATTGCAACCCCCGAGTACACTCGTCTCTCCCTTGAAACACGAAGTTATTTCGTGGTGGCGTAATTACGTAACGGCAAATTGTTGCTGGCAGTTGCTTGACTGCGCGGTTTCCTCAGGGACCTATATCTTAATTGCACGGTAATATAGCGGACCTGCTGGACTGGCTTTGATGTTAATTACTCGTTGGACAATATTTGCAAACGCTCGCATCATACCGCTGTTTCGTTCTGCCCTGCATAGTTCGATCTCGATTCGTATCGATCTGGAAGAACAAATTCGATTACCCATACACACGTTCTTCGGCTGAATATAACCTTGTGCTACAAGAGCAGAGAATTATATTTTAAATTATCTGTAATTTTGTGGTACCGTATCGGATAAGTTACATTTGAAATTCAGTTACGATTATATAAAAAACCTGCAAATGTTGCTAACTATTTGCCATGATTCAAATATTAAATTTGGTATACATTTATTAAATTATATCCGTGCCATTCTGTTCTATAACCTTTCTCCATCTTTCATGCAACTTGAGAATTCTTTCCAGAACGTCTCAGGTTCTTCAGCGAAAAATTTTTCTAAATAAATTTTCACGCCGCCTGCCGAAAATCGACACGAACTTTCCGGACAACCCAATAGAGAACACATCTGTTAATCGAAGAATGTTCTGTGCAAACACGAAGCGGTAGAGGTGTAGGTTTAAGATGGACACGTTTGCGAAAGATTCATTCAGTTTCAATTTCCATGGATCCAAAAAGCTGTTAATCCGATTGGCAGGCAGATGGATCGCGTTAACCGATATCTTCGAATTCCGATAATTGGCCTCCTTCGCTCCGTCCAAGCTGTAGGTGCACGCGCTTTCCTGTTAATTGATATACTGCTTTGCTTCGGCACGGATCAATCTTAATAGATAACCTATGACCGTTCTACAAGCAATTGTAGGTTCGCAGTAAACCATCGTCAATCACGAAACCTAATACTCTCGCGTGGACATTGACATGTAATTTCGCATCGACGTTGCCAGACCACGAATCTGTCCATATTGCCTTCGTGCCAAAGCCTCGAGAAACGATGCAATATTCTGTATACCACTGTTCGAGTTTCGATTTAGCCAAGCAGAAAATCGACGGAACTTTGTCTTATTAATCTGAAACCATCGAGAATGTTTACCGCCAGCAAACCTCGTGCTTCAAGGGGGGATCCTGCTTTAGGAGCCCTAAAAAGAGCGTTTTTTAGGGAATTTTTTTAGGACAGAAAAAAAAGGTGAGCCTAGTGAACTATTTAGATTATTTTACTACATGTTTGAAGAAGAAAAAAAGAATTTTTGTACAGAAAAATATTCAAACGCAGCCGATTTTTATGCACATCTGTGCAACGCCTTTCAATTGCAGTCTCCAATCGGCGGGAAAGATGCAGTTCGTAATTTTCGTCTGAAATTAAAAAACCAAAGAGAATTCTAATTTTCGTAGTCTTTCCTTCTATGTCCTTCTAAGTTTGGCAATTCAGAAATTAAAAAGTTGAAGTAGTTGGTAGACTAAAACCTACGATTCCAAAATTTAGAAATTAAAATGTTATAAAATTTAGGAGTAGTCGCACCTTCTTCAGCTTTCGAATGTAATGTAAGATAAAATGATTTGAAGGGGTTAACGATGAGCGCACGGTGTCCACGTTGCGAGCACGCCTTATATCGAGAGGAGCGAAGCGCATCGCGGCCGTGGGAGGCGAAATGTGGCCGGATGTTTGTCGCACGCCCAATCAGCGCCAATTCAGCCTTCTCCTCTCTTTTGCTGGCCTTACATCGGCGCTAAGCTGTGGTTGCAGACTCATGTCTTCCCTTCCTCTTTTGCCTGCCACGCGTCTTTCGCATGACGCATCCTTCTCGAAATCTGGTTTGCTCGCTGCGAAAAGAAAGCTTCCTAACCAAATTTGGCACTTCATCGAAATTTCATTTCGGATAGACAATCATTTCGATGCTCATTTGAACAGCAAAAAAGTTAAGAAATTTATAAAAGGAAATTCCACGTTGTAACTTAATACTTTGCTGATTTTTTATTTCCGAGTGTTGCGTTAGAGTTCTGGTGCTTGAGTACACCCTACTTCGGAGCAAACATGACCCCTGCTTGTTTGGTCTCGGGCGTGTTCTAACTTTTGTCGTATACTCGTGACAGAATTATGGATGAGCACTTTCAAACTTCTAAGCATGTCTATCCCTATCGTGCAATTTTTGTTCTTTTTACCCCGGTTTTTCTCTTTTTCGTCCTTCCTTCTAGTTGCAGTCGCTCGTATATTTCCTGCTTGTCGGTTCGCTGATTACGTTTACCGATTACAGAAAATCTCGTATATGCGCTTTTGCAGAAATTAACTTTTAAGACCCGCAGCACGCGAGCAATTTTTTCCACGCGATTCCGCTGTGATCATACATCTTTCTTTTCGCAAAGCAACGAAGACGTATGATCGCATATCACTCGGAAAAAACTTGCACCTGACATAATCCTCTAACAATAAGTATCGCGGTCAGAATGTGTTACGATATAGCCGTCCGAGTTTTAACAGCGACATTGAATCTTCCGCTCCGTCGGAATCTTGAATCGTGTCCAGAAATGTAGAAAGATTCGAATTGGAAGTTTCAGAGAGGCGAGAGGTGCAACGTCAAATTTGCACGGCGAAGATCACGCGTTAATTTCATTCGACGAGGTTGCGACGACAGTTTTATAACGAGCGTGGTACGGTATGCACGCTCGGGGCGCGGGAAACTTGGAAAAGTTGAAAATTTCGGGAAGCTCGGTCTTACCAGCCGCAAGTTTACATAACTCGATATTACCTTGACAAGACGGATGTTCGGAATAATCAAACTTCTACCGACGAACAAACGCGATGAATAATGTATCCTGGATGCACGCGTGTGCTCGCCCGATTTCTAATACGCTTTCGATGACGAGTATTGCCGCGAACTGTCGAGCCATTTTCTATGCATTTCCGGTTACGCTGAAATCGTTATAAATTTTAAGGTACGTGAGTTATGATACTTGCAGACACTTTGGGTGAAGCTTTGAATATTTCAAAAAGAGCTCTTTGATTCTGGAGTTGCATTAATTCTTTGCGCTCGAGGGGTGACTCTCAGTCACCATTTTATTTAGTACAATAATTTGAAATGAGCATTTTTTAACTGATTCTATAATATGACACGTGTGATGTATGAACATAGAGAAATAATAGTGGAAATTATTAGTAGAGGAATAATAACCTCAAGGGAATTCATTTAACCCTTTGCGCTCGAGAGGCGCCATTCGATTTAATACAATAATTTAAAAGAAGCATTATTTAATTAATTCTATAATAGTGCTTATGTGATGTATAAACATAGTGAAATAGACAATAGTGGAAATATGTGTGCTTATGTGATGTATAAACATAGTGAAATAGACAATAGTGGAAATTAT